TATGCTAAGTGCTGAGCCTACATCCACATTGAGCACCCGAATAAGTGGCCTAATTTCAAATGTACTGAGCACTCACAGTGCCCCGACCTCAGCATGTAACCCTTGAAACATCCTACGTTCCTCTAAGACAAAGAGAAGACTATAGGGCTTCAGGGCAGTGTAGAGTGATAGCAAGTATGTTGATGTCAGCAAGATTCAATAAATATTTTGTTTTCCCACAAAATGTATTTTATAAGTATGGTAGCAATCATACTAAAGTCCATGACAGCTGGACAACTCTACAGAGCTGGCCTCTTGGGAGTTCTGGTGCTCGTAAACCTCTGGCACAGTTAAAGATTCCTTATTCAGGGGGTTGGTGTTTTATATATGTCATGTGGTCATTCCTGGCCACTACACAACAGTCAGAAACATGTCCTCTCACTGATAAATGAATGGTCTGGTTTAGCTATAATAGATATTGACAATGGGTTATACTGCATTAAAGTCATGCCTCTTCTCTGTCCAGTCCCTGCCCCGAAAGTATTCTTTATAGAGAGGTCACTGTGTATTTTTATCTGGAAATGAACACATACCTACATTTAAGTGTCTCATCCTAACACATCTGCCACCAATAAACACATATCCACATATGCACCCCTCTGAGCTGAGGCCAAGCATAATATATTTCAGACCAAGAGCTTAATAGTCTGAGAAAGTTACAATGATCAAATACACATTTGAAATGAAAATACTATCTCAGCTGTAACTACTGCATCATTACCATAACACCATCGTATTCTTTCCAGATCACTAATTTTCTATAGAGATGATGGAATCTTTATCCCAAGTGAAAGATATGGTAGGACTTTGAACCCTGAATCACTTTGATATCTACTACTATTTAACAGAGAAGTTATTCATTAAAATTCCATAAAGCTGCAGTATCAGATTAGCTTCTATAAATTTCTTACCACCACCACATGGGCAGACTTATCTGCTTAAATTCATCTGAGACATTTAATTTGGTCTATTACCCTTTGAAGTACCATTTGAGCGCAATAGGGCTGGACACAGGAAAGCCTGATATGCACGTTGATATTGCAAAGTGTTAAGACAAACTAGGAACCTCCAATTCAAAGGTGACGATGTGTTTTTAAAGTCACATGGGAAGTGGAGTGCTCATTGTATATAGGTCTCATCTGAGATTTCAGTCCAAATCATTAGGTACCAAGTAAAATAGTGAGTTTGATGGTTTCCCCAGCTTCACATTACAAAACCATCAAACAGAGAACAATGTTTTTGTATTAATAGGAACTGTTCACAGTGACCCAAATCACCTCCTCATGAACTGTCATACATCCGTTGTGCTATATAAATAGGCTAGAAAGGTTTAGATTTGTATTGGTAAATGTCAGTAAACATCGATTTCACCATACACACACAAACTGACCTAAAAATATTTCCAAAGAAAGAAAAATGCTGCTTCAGAACTTACTACAGTTTGATTTAAAGATATTTACTTTATATATTTTGACATGATGTGGAAAATCTGTTTTAATTGTTATAAGCTTTAAGTTTTTGAATCTGTGTCTAGTCATTAAATAATTATCTGCCCCCTCCATAATTTCTCACAACTTTGAAAATTGAAATCAACACACACAAAAATTTAAAAATTCTTAAAACCCATAATTTTGCACAAGTGAAAATTTTAATTGATAAAAATAGAAAAAAAGTTTAAAAACAACATTGATATTTTCCATCAAACTGATGATAAAAATTGAATTCTACCAAGCCTATCAATAAAATATTTCTATTAATATTATCAAACATTTGTATTGGACTATAAATGCATACAGTATTTTAGAAACATACATAAACACTCTCTGCCCTGACCAATGGTGAACAGAACTGCATTTATTCAGCTCCATCTTCAAAACACTTTATAATCATCTTCACCTAATTAATCTTCACCCTGCCCCAATTAGGTGCAGATTTATTAACCCCATTTTATAACCTCAAAGGTTAGTGGTGAGCTGCCAAGGAAAATTATTGGCTCTGTGCCTTTTTTTTTTTTTTAAATAAGGTATAGAAAAAGACCTTTCTTAATAATGTAGCACCCCCACTTCTTCAATTTAGGGTTGAAACAACTCACAACCCATAAATCTGAGGCTCCCCAAAAATCTTGCAGCAAAGGACAGGAACACCAGACTTAACATACCCGAAATTTAAACATAAGAACAAATGAATAAACTTTCTGGCTTTCTTTATGCATCAGTGTAGTGGGAGGGAAAAAGGCACAAACATAGTATTTTCCCTCTCTGCAGACTCATTACCTTTAGATCTTTTGCCCTAGGCCACCAAAAGTGTGTGTGTGAGAGAGATGGGCTTGTAATTTAGGAGGTTCTGATTCCCAGTCCTATGCTCAGCCCACATGTCTAGTAACCAGGTATTTCATTACCAAGACAAAAAACCAGAAACAAGAGAACAATGCATCTTAAGCAGAAGCTACATGGGTAATCAAGAGTAATATTTGAAGATTAAGAAAAACAGCAGCCAGTTCTCAGAACACCAGAGGGTGCTATTGCACAGACAGTTAATGGGGGGAAATCTCAGCAATAACACTGCATGAATAGCCTTTCTTGCACTTAACAGAAGAACAATGGTTCCAAGTTCAGGACACTAGGTCTTTTGGATGCAGATGAGTGGAAAAAGCCTTCCACAGACTGTTCAGTATGTGGATGGGCTACATTCCAGAGTTCAGATGTGAAAATAACCCTGCAGCTCCCCAGCAGTATCCCTCCATGACAGTAAAGCACCATGCATAGTTGTGTTATTTTGAAAAATGCTTTAGCAAAATCATGTGGCTTCAGGGAAGCTTTGCAGTCACTGGAACCAAGCCTCATGACCAAAACCAATTTTAATTTGCCAAAGAAAGGATTAATAGTGACAGTCAGGTAAAAAAAAAAATCGTACTACTACAGAAAAGCTTCTATATGCGTATTAAAACACGTTCTCATAACTGAATTTTCATCAAATTAATTTCTCTATCTGGAGGGTTTTTTTATTTCTTTCCTCTGGGACAACAAAACCCAAATAGTCAGTTTCCCTTTTATTTTATAATAAATTACCATTAGAAAAAGGGTGGAAAATCAGAAAAACTGTTTCACAAAAAATTTCAGAGTTGTTTCTATTTTCCGTGGTTTGAAATGGACCCTTTTCTGCCAAACTGTCATGGAGCTTTTAAATTGAAATTTTTCATTTTCTTAATCATTATTTAAAAATTATTTACCAAAAACATTTGGTGCTACTTATATCAGCGCCATAGAACCATTTTAGCAGACGGTTCTTAAAAAGTAACTGTACAGAACCCTACCTGACACAGGGGAATCCAGGAACTGCAGTGATGCTTATATTAAGCACAATCAATGGTGCCAAGTCCTCAGCATTGAACTTGGTCAGCTCAGACGGATCTGGAGACCTCAATGCCACTTTGACTGATCTGACCCTCAGCACTTGTCTTGGTTGAATTGGCAGATCCAGGAACTTTCATCTGCTCATGTTGCTCACAAAACCAAGTTGGTTCTCCAGAGATGACAGTGCTGGATCCTTGCTACCAAATTCAGATGGATCCAGGGACCTCTGTACAGCACAAGGTGGACACAGAATCACTTTGGGCAAGCGGTTCTCCAGAGTCCTTGGTGCTAGGGCCTCAATATTGGACTCCCATTAACCCAAATGGATCTGGTCGCTAGGACCACTTTGGCCAGTGGTTCTCTGGAGTCAAGAAGTGCCTTTCTGGCACAAACTTACTCAACCAGGACAGATGCAGGGACTTCATTGCCACCTATGCCAAGCAGAATCTGAATTTACAGTGCTAGACTCACTTGACCAAGTCTAAAGAGCTTCCCTGGAGAGCAGGGGTGTGAAATGACCTTTCTGCTTTCACAGCATCAAATTATTCCCATGCTGTATGGGCATCTCTCTTGTCTCTGTCAATCAGCTTCTCTGAAGACAATCTAACGATAAAACAAAAATAGCCTCCAATGGACTGAAGGAAAAATGACCATGTAAGAGTTGAGGATATCTAGTGTGATCTACACTCACTGCACCATTGATGCCTAGAAGGAACTGAAAGGCATTTGGGGCTACTCCCCATTTTATACCTTTGGAACGATCTGTAAAGAATGAATAAGGAGGAGTGAGTGGCCCCAATTGATGCAGCTCACCAGAAGATTTTGAAAGCTCATAGTGCAAGCTCCTTGAAAGCACAAGTAGGAGTATGCAGAAGACACTCAAATGTGAACTGAGTTTTCTTACTGAAACCGTGGTTTTTAAGAAACAAAGGGCTTGTCTAGTCAAACAATTAGTGTACAGCAAGCTGGGTTGTAAATCTACAGTGCATTATCATGCCACATACTTGCTGTCCAAGTGGACCCTGCTACTGTGCACTAACAGTTCCCTAGTGCTCAGTGACCTACTCCTGTTTCAAAGCAGAGCGGATCAAAGCACACTAAGAAACTTTTAGTGCACGGTAGCGGGTTCACATGGACAGCTAATACATAGCATGTTAATACACTGTAGATTTACATCCCAGCTTGCAGTGCACTAACTGCTTGACTAAACAAGCCCAAAGAGTTTCTATAATGAATTTAAACACAATTTTGACACAATTTTAGATTAAAAGTGTGATGGAATATTTCACAATAACAGAATTTTTTATGAAATAGTGTTGACATTACTGTAAGTCTAATTTTTGGGAAAAAGCCTTTTTTAAGCAAAAAAAAAAAAAAAACACCTATGTGAAAAGTTTTGACCAATTCTACTTACTAATCAATATATTTATGATTCTCAAATACTGCAGCATTGTGCTGATTGGGGTAAACACCATTTCCGCTGAAATCTTAAACATTTCATAAAACATTCCTGTCTGCCATTGGTTTTGTAAAAGCTAATTTTTCCAAAACCTAAATTTGGCTCCCATTTGTACCTGACATCATCTAGGAAAACTCTTGCTTACTTACGCAGGAACACCTTCAAATTCCTGTGCCGTTATTAAAGGGGCTTCTTTAATAAATTTTGGCTCTTTTGCGGGTTTCTTTACACATTCAGGTTCTGCAACTTTACTTTGTTCTTCAGACTTCACAATTAGTCCCACAGTGCTGTAAAATGAATGAAAATTGAGTATAAAAATAGCTGATAATCAGTAGTTATGAACATACCAACAAGTTACAAGATCTCTACTCACACAAATCTACAATTCCTTTTCTCCCACTGATTGACAGGACAAAACTACCGCGTTTGCAATAATATGTACTTTAATTGACTGTTCATTATACCTCTTCATTTTTCAGTTAGAGAGAGGCTGTTACCAGGCTCAGTTACAAGTTCAACATACCACTGTATTCCACAGAACGTGAGAGGCTTTATTTTTCATCATTTGCTTGTGGCTCAAAAACATGAGCCAGGTTATGCACTTATTGGTCTCGTCATCAGACCCCTATGAAACACAGGTTCAAAACTTGGTAAGACTGACTCACCCGTTTATCCTGTGATGCAAATAAACTGAACCTCATGCAGCCTGCTGCGTAGTTCTCCTAGATGGGATCGGAAAAGCCACAGTCTTTTCTACTCTGAGGGAACTTTACCAAACCCATGGTACTTTTTTAAAAATCTGCCCCACCAAGCTCCTCAGATCAATATCCTTAGGTAAAATCTGTTTCCCTTCTCCCCAGTGTTGTACTGTATGCCAGTCACTTGGATGCCTCTGTTCTACACATTCTGGGCAGCAATATGAAGAGAAAGATGTATTTCACTGATTTATGTATTGTTTGCTAAGTGCTATGGTATTCTGTGGGATGAAAGTTGCCATGTAAATGTAAAAAAAAAATCATTAAAATAAAGTTGAAGTGTTACATAATGAAAGATTGACTTGCAATTTTGGTCCCGGGGCTAACAGTATGAGACAGTGGGCAAGCCACAGCACTCTATAATTATGTCCTGACGGTAGCATAGGAGTGTAATATCAGTGCAGCTGATGATCTGGGTTTGATGTCTCATTTAAAAGAAGGCATCTCCACCAGTACAGTGCCCCACCACGAAGATAACCTGCTGGAGTATTAGTTCCGATTGACTGAGGAGGATTAGTGTCACCTGCTGAATTAGCAATTAAATGCTCAAAAACTTTGTTTAGACAGAGTTAAGTTTGCCTAGTTCTGCCTTTTGCCCTTCCAGAATGTAGACAAGGGCTAAACTTAAACCTCTGGAAACCAGGAAACACAAAGTTAAGGCAACACAATCTTAATTCTGCCTCATGGAGCTGGCAATAGCCACTGGGAATGGTTCAATAAGGATGCTTCAAAGGTTAGATTACCAAGTGAACTGATGGATTCGCCACCTCTTGAGGTCTTCAAATCAAGACTGGATGCTTTTCTGGACGATACGCTTTAATCAAACACAGGCTCAATACAGGAGTAATTGGATGAAATTCTATGGACCATGTTATACCAAAGGTCAGACAGATGATCTAATGGTGCCTTCTGGCCTTAAAATCTATAACAACTTAATAAGTAGACATGATGGACTAAAAGAATATGCCATTGTTTGCACTGTGTTCATCAGATTTGAACTGCAACATTTGTCTGCATGGACTCCAGCTTCATTGGGTGTAACTTTATTGAGTGGTGTAATGATTGGCTGGAGCAGCTTTGCAGAGCTGTGACCATGATATGATGAGATATGCATGTGCAACTTGTGGAATCAAGTATGCCCCATTTCAGTGCTGGATTTTGTAGGTTGTGTCAGTAGAAGTGCACAAGAATATGTTCTTGTCATGGGGATTGTCAGCAGTATGGTGGCATACATGATAGTGGTCTTTGAAGCTTAGTGAGATGTAAGTGAAGGCAATGTCTCAGATGGAATCCACTGGGCAAGGCTGAAAGGGTAGAAACATTTAACAAGTCTGGGGTAGTTTGTGTGGAGCAGGTTCAGGGGTTGTATGTAGGTAGCTCCTGTTTACTACATCTGACCTAAACCTGAGTTTTGCCTGCGCAAAGAGAAGATGTTAGACTTTGCCCTACAGTGCTCATATGTAGAGCCCTGCGCGGATACAAAATTTGTATCCGCATCCGATCCGCTATCCGCAAACATGGTCCGTGGATATCCGCAGATTTGCAGGGCGCTACTCATATGCTCTGTCCTCAAAATGTTCTGTAGCATCTGTTAGGGTAGAGTGCTAGTATTTGTGCTACTGGTGTGTTGGGGCATCTCTTAAAAAGGACAGAGTTAAGGTTGCAATGCGGGGGTGATGTGCACCTTAAAGTCTTCTTTTCCTGGTTTTCAGAGGTTTAAATTTAGCCACTTTCCATGTTCTGAAGGGCATGAGGCAGTAACTGGGCAACCTTAACTCTGCGGTAACAAAGTTTTTAGGTATTTTATTTCCTTGTTTAAAAAAAATTTATCATCAGCATCCCCATGTACCACAGCCCAGCTCTTCCCCACCACTGCCTTTGTCTCTTTAGTAATGATTAATCTTGCAACAGAATGTGAACACCTCCATTGTTCCTGTATCATCCTGTCTCCCGTGTCTATGACTGCACCTCACAGCCCTGTTCTCCCTTTTCAGACTTCCTCTCCATGGAGAGACAGATGTCAGCATAGGACCCACAGGCTGAGGAATTGGAGAGAGGATGCAGGAACAGTGATAAAACCTAAATCAAGTCAGTGCAGACATTTTTAGAAGGGAGGGTCTTCTGACCCCTTCCTTACAGCTCCACTTTTCCTTGCACTGCGACAACAATCCCCTACATTCCCCACTCCCAACTGCTCAGACTTCCCCACCACTGTTTGGACACTGTTCCATCTCTTGCAACATTCCCTCCATCATGCCCTTTGCTTTGATCACCCCCACAACTCTGCTGCTCTGAGCACTGCACAAATACAGTATGTGGTAAGAAGCATTAGCACTCTAGATCTAACAGGAATGCTACTAATATATAGAACTTGACTGAGTCCCAAAGATTTGCAGTTAATATCTAGTACTAGGAGCAGAGATATAGATTTTTACACTGCCAGTGTCACCAGGAAATCTGCCTATGCGAGTAATACGTACCACTTTGGGATTGCTTTGGGCAGATGGGGAGGAATATTTTCACGGAGGTGCTGTGCTTCATTATAGTCCCTCTTAATAGACTCCTGCATCTCCTGAAATTAAGAATATTGGACTCTTTCAGTAGTTTGAAGTTACCAAAAATGGTGCAATGGAAATGTTTCCATTTACTACCTAGATGATGCGAGAATGACCCTTAATGAATATGTCTTAATGTGATTAATGAACTTTGCTATTTCTCCACTATAGACCCTCACTCCTAACTCCCCAGAAGCAATCAGTGAAGCCTAAAAATTCAACTGCTTTTCATTCTAAATAACTTGAGCCAGAGAAGCTAAGAGTGATCCAGATACAGAGGGGAAAAAACCTAAAAAGAAGGTGGCCACTGTAGTGAATAAAACTCTGCTTGCCACTAGCAAGAGGGAGAAGACAGGAAGAATAAAGCTGGCTGCAATTAAGAGTCAAGGAAGGAGCTCCAAGGACTTCTCATTAGCATGCAAAGGAAGCCAAACTTCTGAGGTGAGGGCACCAATGAGGTCACACCCCAAGACTGACAGCTCTGAACATTTAGAATCAATTCTGCTTGTTTGTCATAATTTCATTGTTGTTCCTGACTTTTTATTACTAAGGACAGTTTTATGCGAACAGGAGCTTTGTCTCTGAAGCTTTGTCTCTTCCTGCTTTTTATCCCTCAACCTGAAGTTATAATTTTGTGTGACATGATTATTTCCACAGCAACTAATTGCTTTTAGAGAATCATATTCCTACCAACACTGCCAGCAACTCTCTTGTAAATAAGATTTCAGTTTAAATAACTTGATTGACATGACAGGATACCCAAGGGTTGCCAGACTTACTAAACCAATCTCGAGGCATAGGGAAGAATGATAGGAAGGTACAGAAGTTTTACACAATGGATCTATTTTACATTACTATCTGGCACTGATTTGGTGTCAGGTTGCCATTGTCTCTTCACATCCTAAAGTTTTTTTCCTTACATGATTTCACCATTTCCTTGTAATTCTCCTGTAATTAAGTTTGACTGTCACCGAAATTTAAGAAAAACAGAATGTGACAGTATTTTCATAATAGAACTATACTCATTAGAGGAGATATGTAATAAGAGCAATACATTAAAAAGGTCACAGGAGTAACCACATACAAGTGAATACTCATATGTATGAATTGTAGGACACAAAGTATATACAAATCATTTCATTGTCAGAGCCCAGATAACAGTGCTAGAAAATAGTTGTAAAATGAAAGAATATTCTGGGCAATGACATACAAATGAGCACACAACTTGCCCCGTTGGCTTCAGAAATCCTGGCTTCAGAAACAGTTTGAGCAGATAAGATGGACAATTATGGAGACATTTCAGCTCAGGTGCAGATTTCTTCTGCAGGAGAATAAGACTACATGGGACTAGCTGTGCCAGGAAGAAAGAAGAGTCCATTTCATAGGCAATATTTCCAATCTGATGAGGGGAAAAAGGCCTGATCCAAAGCCCATTGGCTCAGTCCCAAAATGCAAAAACAACAATGATCAATATTTTGTTGTTCCAATGAATACATTATACTTCTCACTTACTATAACATTCTCATAACTCAAAGACATACCACCTAACGACCTAGAAAGGAACCATTCCGGACAGGTCTAAGAGATTCCTTTAAAGCGTCCCATTTTTATATTAGGATGCTACAAGCAGAACAAAATAAGATTACCTTGAGCGAATTCTTTAGTTTTTCTTGATGCTCAACTTCTATTTCCATTTTATTCAGGAGACCATTGAGGAGAAACATCTCATGCCCTATTTTACAGAGCACAGATTTCAAGGATGGCTCCTGACCTGTCAGAGAGAGAGAGAGAGAGAGAGAGAGCGCGCACGAGCGCAAAATTAAAAAAACAACAACCCTCAAGTGCCTGGTTCATACATTTCCCGTCTCTTCCAAAATTTTTCTAAATTCCTTCCCTACTCCCTGAAACTCCACATCATAGTTCCCAACCTTCTGGCAAAGAATGGCACTGTTCTCTTTGAACAGGGGTTATTATTCTGTGGCCTAAAGTGCTCAGTGCCATCCCAGCAAGGGGGATGAGAGCTGGAAATAGAATGAGTTAGATCTCAGCAAAACAGTAAAAAGCACTGCAAATCAACCACAGTCTATATCACACACACACACACACACACATACATAAACCCCTGTGTTAAAAGAACACTACTAAAGTTGCAAAGTCAAGCACTCAAAAGTTATGAAATGCCAGAATTAAGGTTGCCTGAGCAACCTGAATTTGGCCCCCCGTTGTGCATATCCATTATGGTGCAGTATATAATCAGATGATCACATGCAGTGGAATCTCAGAGTTACAAACACCTTGTGAATGGAGGTTGTTTGTAATTCTGAAATGTTCGTAAATCTAAAAAAATCCAAAACATTATAGTTGTTCTTTCAAAAGTTTACAACTGAACATTGACTTAATACAACTTTGAAACTTTACTACGCAGAAAAAAAAATGCTGCTTTTAACCATCTTAATTTAAATGAAACAAGCACAGAAACAGTTTCCTTACCTTGTCAAATCTTTTTTTTATTAGTTTTTTAGTAGTTTACATTTAACACAGTACAATACTGTATTTGTTTTTGTCCCTACTGCTGCCTGATTGTGTACTTCCGGTTCCAAATGAGGTTTGTGTCCATTCGTAATTCTGGTGTTCATAACTCTGAGGTTCTACAGTACTATTTTTTCCACAGGACCCTTGCCTCATTCAGCACACAGGAAGAACCCACTCTGGGGACCAATCCAGATTGTGCAGTACAAGAATCTTGTCCCCAGTCTCCTTGCCCAGTCAGTTCTCCTGACTCCCCATCCAATCTGCCTCTCCGCTTTCCACTACTGACTCCAAGTCCAAGTCTCCCTAATCAAGATCCTCATCCATTCTCAGTCTCTTTTCCACACCCTCTCCCTAGCTCTTTATCCCCCAGTCTCCTTCCTCCATGGCTCATTGATCCAATCTCTTTGCCCAGACAGTTGCAGTTCTCCTGCCACATCTCAGCTCCTTGACAGATCTATCTCCCATCCACTCCAATACTGCTTCTTAGTCCCAGTCTCCTTGTCCATCCAGTCCCAGTCTCCCGCAGCTCTTCATACCATCAGTGTGTTTCTCCCCCAGCCAGCTGGCTCCCAGTTCCCCACCCCTATCTTCTACTCTTCATCTCTGAACTCAGTGAATGCACTGTCTACAACCACTGCCTTGAATTCCTCTCCTCCAACTCCATGCACGACCCTCTTGCCTCTGGCTTCTGATGTCTCCACTCCACTGAAACTGCTTTCACTACAGTTTCTAATGATCACTTCATGGCCACATTTCACCTCATCTCTAACATCTAGGATGGTGGAAAAACTAGTTTGACAGAGAGATGTCAGATTTCTATCCAGATATCTGTACTGTTTAAGGATGCTGGGGTTTTTTTGCTTTCTGTAACCATATGCAGTATTAAAATTTTAAATTTTAAAAAACGCCACAGCACTAGAACTGCCCCTTTTGTTTGACAGAGAAGCCAAGGACTTAACATGCACAGACAATAACCTACTCTTTTATGTCTGCAGGTGATCTCCTGGGGGTTAGGGTAGATCCATTTTAGGTGGGGTTGTATGGGAAAGCTTACTGTGCCACTGGCCATGCTGTATCTGTTCTGTGGATAAATCATCAGTCGAAAAGGCTGTCAGACTAGAACCATTCACTTCCCCAGGTTCTGTTTGGTATCCCCTCTAGTTCCCTGTTATTGTTCCTTTGATCCCACACTTTTGTCCCTGCCTTTTTCTGGTTGTCCTCCATGTCTATTAAGCTCCTCTCCTCAGAGAGCCCCAGCTCCTTCAAGTAGGTAAAGTAGACTGGCATGTTACACAAACACTGAATTCTTGGTTGGTTTCCTCAGATTTATACAGTACATTTCCAAAAGAGGACACAGCTATAGCAAGAAGATCAGCATCAACAAAAATTATGTCACAGTTGTACATAATAGTGAGAAGTGTAAGGTGATGCATTTAGGGATGACTAACAAGAATTTTAGTTATAAGCTGGGGACGCATCGGTTGGAAGTAACGGAGGAGGAGAAGGACCTCGGAGTCCTGGTTGATCGCAGGATGACTGAGTCGGCAATGTGACGTGGCCGTGAAAAAAGCTAATGCGGTCTTGGGATGCATTAGGCGAGGTATATCTAGTAGGGATAAGGAGGTGCTGCTTCCGTTATACAAGGCACTGGTGAGACCTCATTTGGAGTACTGTGTGCAGTTCTGGTCTCCCATGTTTAAAAAGGATGAACTCAAACTGGAACGGGTACAGAGAAGGGCCACTAGGATGATCCGAGGAATGGAAAACCTGTCGTATGAAAGGAGACTCGAGGAGCTCGGTTTGTTTACCCTAACCAAAAGAAGGCTGAGGGGGGATATGATTGCTCTCTTTAAATATATCAGAGGGATAAATACCACGGAGGGAGAGGAATTATTTCAGCTCAGTACTAATGTGGACACGAGAACAAATGGATATAAACTGGCCGTCGGGAAGTTTAGGCTTGAAATTAGCCGACGGTTTCTAACCGTCAGAGGGGTGAAGTTCTGGAACAGCCTTCCGAGGGAAACAGTGGGGGTGAATGACCTCTCTGGCTTTAAGATTAAGCTTGATAAGTTTATGGAGGGGATGGTTTGATGGGATAACGTGATTTTAGTCAATAGGCCAATAACGTGCCATCGCTGGTAATTAGTATCAATGGTCAATGTGGGTCTGGCTGGAGAATCTTGCCCGCATGCTTGGGGTTCTGCTGATCGCCATATTTGGGGTCGGGAAGGAATTTTCCTCCAGGGTAGATTGGCAGAGGCCCTGGAGGTTTTTCGCCTTCCTCCGCAGCATGGGGCAGGGGTCGCTTGCTGGAGGATTCTCTGCGACTTGAAGTCTTTAAATCACGATCTGGGGACTTCAACAGCTGAGTCAAGGGAAAGAATTATTCCAGGAGTGGGTGGGTCAGCTTTTGTGGCCTGCATCATGCGGGAGGTCAGACTAGATGATCATAATGGTCCCTTCTGACCTTAAAGTCTATGAGTCTATGAGTCTATAAGTAATAGTAAAATAGCATCTTGAGATGAGCATTTAGATCTTTAATACTTGATGGAAAATCCTTTACTAAATATAATCCACATACCCAGATACACTCCCCTGAAAATAAAAACACCTACTGAGCTCTCTTACCCATGTTTCTTAACTGAAGAGTCTTTTTGATAGTTGAAATCTTTGTGTTGATGTGAGAGCATAAATCTTCCAAATCTGAAGAGGCCATATTCCCACTACTGCTCTACAAACAGAAAATAAACATTGGTACATTTAAGATATCCACATTACAAGTACAAGCTTTTTTGCTGGACTTTGTGCTGTGTATGGCCCCAAGTGCAACCGGATAACCCCTGTATGCATAATGACAATGCACAGCAATCAACTCTCAAATGACAAAAAGGATATATTTGACCAGTGGACGGAACATTTCAGTTTGCTTCCTAATCACCCTTCCAATATTTCTGAGGAAGCAATTAATGCTCTTCCAGAACATCGACTAAAAGAACTTGCACTAGCCCCTACCTTATATGAGACCATAACAGCAATCAAGCAGATGTCACAAGGAAAAACACCTGGAATGGATGGCATTCCAGCAGAGATCTATAAGCAGGGTAGCTACCATACTACAAGGCACCTCACATTGCTCTTCTGCATTATCTGGGAGCAAAAAAGTCAGTACCAGAGGATATCAAAGAAGCCAGCATTGTCTACCTCTATAGCAGTAGTTCTCAACCTATTTACCATTGTAGGCCGCATATGCAGCTCTCTCTGTGTTGTGTGGACCTCATCCACACAATATATATACTACCTGTATGGCCCTGAGGATGTCACATGGGCCACAGCTATGCGCTGATTGGGCCACAAGTGGCCCGTGGGCTGAGAACCACTGCTCTATAAAGATAAGATGCTAAGACAACCTGTGATAATCACCGCAACATTTCCCAACTCTCTGTTGCTGGGAAAATTCTTGCACAGGTCATTTTGAATAGACTTAACACCTATCTTGTGGAAACCATCCTCCCAGAGTCTCAATATGGATTTCAGTCTGGAAAGAGCACTATAGACATGATCTTCACAGCCCCTCGGCTTCAGGAAAAATGCTGGGAGCAGAATTGTGGTCTTTATGTGGTGTTCATTGACTAAGCTAAAGCTTTTGACTCCAAGTTTTGAGAGACTCTGAAAACTTCTGTTCATCTTTGGATATCTTGCAAAGTTTATTTCTGTCAAATGGTGAGATATCAAACCCCTTCTCACTCCTTAATGACACCAAACAAGGTTGCATGCTGGTTCCACACTCCTTTCCAGCCCTTTTTTTCCCATTATACCTATGGATGTATTTTATGACATTGACAGAGTATTTATCCAGTTCAACACTGATGGGAAGCTGTTCAATCTGCAATGCTTCCGTGCTCGCATGACAATGGCATATTTACTAATTAAGCTTTTATTTGCTGATGACTGTGCGTTGGTTGCTCACTAGATTGATGACATTCAAGTTATAACTGATCACTTTGCTTGTGCAATCAATCATTTTAGTTTCACAATCAGCCTAAAGAAAACTGAATTACTGTACCAACCTGTGCCAGGGTGATGCTCATACCTACCTTATTATTAAGATCAACAAAGCTCCTCTCAAGTTCATGGAGAAGTTTTGCTACCAAGGGAATACGCTGTCACAGAATGTCACAACTGATTATGAGATTACCTATCACATTGTAACCGTTCCTTTGTGGGTCACAATGGAGAATACCAAATTCCAGACAAACTGCTGAGAAATAGGGCAGATACACCCCAAAACTGGTGGTTATTCTCCCATAAGGTATGCCAAACCAGCAACCAAAGTAAACTTCTGTTTCACCACACTTACTAACAAGAAGTCAGAAAAGCAGTTTCCTTAGATATTCCAGTCCTTGTATCACCACCAAAAACACAAGACTTAAAGATGAGTGGTTCTTTAAAACCAATTTCATCAAATAAAAGGTTCTTCTGATCCCAAAGGACCAGCCACACACCCAGGTCAATATATAGCTGAGATCTTATTCAATAATCATGCTGTTGCCAATCCTTTAGTATCTAAAATCTAAAGGTTTACTTATAGAAAGAAAGAAAGGTGAGTTAAAATTGGTTAAAGGAATCAAATACATACAATAATTACAAAGTTCTTGGTTCGGGCTTGTAGCAGTGATGGAATAAACAGCTAGCTTAAGTCAAGTCTCTGGTTGCGTCCAAATCATTGGAATGTCCTCAGTCCCTTGGTTAGAATGTTCCCATTAGGGTAAGTTCATAGTCCATAGGTTTGAGCAGGAAAGAGGAAACATTGAGATGTTTCCAGGGCCTTTTATAGCTTCTGCCATGTGGAGGGAAATCCATTGTTTCAAACAAAGACCTCAGCACAGCTAGTGGAAAATTACAGGTAGCAAGATGGTGTTTGGAGTCACATGGGTAAGTCACATGTCCATGCCTGATTTTGCTTAGTCACAGCAGGAAAGTCCATTAAGTGTAGATAGGCGTCTCCCATGGTCCATTGTGAGTTAAGTGTTCCTTGATGAGCCACTTAATTTGAATAGTCCCTTCAAGATGTGCAGGCTAAATACCTTGTGGGTGTTACTCCAGGAGCAAACATTTTTGAAATACAGGGATAGAGCCAGTGCTCATAACTTCAAATACAAAAATGATACAAATAGCATAATCATATTCAGCAAATCATAACCTTTCCATAGACATCTTACTTGACATAATTTGTACAAGATTTGTTGCAATTATATAACAGTGGTAGCAACAATGATCTACATGGTCATATTTAATCAATCAGACACATATCCAAGGCCAGCTCCACATCCGGAATGCTGCAACACCACCAAATGAATGATAGGGGTATCAAAATAAGCACGAAGCTAAATTTATATTATTCTTCCAACACTTCTATATGGTTGTGAGATGTGGACAACATATCACAGGTTCAAATATGCTGCCTTTGGTCTGTTTGCAGGGTCAAATGGTGGGACAAGATTTCCAATACCAAAATCCTTAGTTGTTGTTGGATATCTAGCATTCAAAGCAAGCTCATAAAAGTTCAGCTGTGTTGGTCCAGGCATCTTGTTCACATGGTCAATTCGAGCCTATGCAAGGCCATATTTATGGTCAGCTAAAGCAAGGCACCCATTTTCATGGTGGCCAGTACAAACAATATAGAGACACACTGAAGTCAAACTTGAAAGCATGTCAGGTTGACCCCAGCAACTGGGAAGCGACAGCCCATGACAGGGCAAGGTGGCAGAAGATGTGTCATGTTGCCACTAATTGCTTTGAAGCAAGGCACATTAACACTATGTGAAAAAATGTGTACAGCACAAAACAAGTATGCTACAGACAGCAACGGTCATGGACAGTCTTGTCTGTCCCACATATAACCATGTTTCCAGTTCTCACATTGGTCTGACCTCACATATACATGTTCACCAATGGCATTTGCTGAATCCTCATGTTAACATCAACATGAACTCCATCATCATAAGTACTAGTTATGCAAATAGAATTTAAAATGTACACTGCTTAGACAAAAATGAAGGGGAATTTCACCTAGCTTTTCCTGAAGCAGCAGACATAGTAAATGCTATTTAGTTGAGCAAATTGAAAGCAGGGCAGGGAGCATACTGAGGTAGGTGGTAAACTAGAGAAATCTATGTGCTTGAACTCTACAGATAAAGTACTAGTATTGGTCCTTAGATTTATGGGACTGTATTGGCTCCCTCTGGTGGTTAACTAGAACTGAAAACTACGGGTTTTGTTGTGGTTGTTTTTATAACCCACACACTAGTGCATAGGTTGGCCAAATACGCATGATACTTGGCAGAGCTGTATAGCTACTCATGTTATGCCCACACATTTAAGAAGTCTTTCACACACTGCCATTGGTAAAATGTCACACTCGTATAAGAGACAGCTTATTTAGGAAAATTCAGACGGGAAAATCTTAGACCCTAGATTCCCAGTCAAAAAACTTGAAGCAGAGTTAAACTTGTAAATATGTATAAAGGAAAAAAACTTTAATAAAATCCTTTGGGGTTTAAGAAACACAAATGCTTGAGAGCCAGGATTAATTGTGTGAGGTGGGTTCCTAAAGCATAATGGATAGTATGCACACGTTGGAACTCTGCAGTTTTTAAAATGTACATATCAACCACCTTTAATAATTACATAATTCTCCTACTTACCCTACAAGTAGCCAAAGTAACTACTCCTTAACACACATACACAAATTTGGAGTTTCTAGGCTAAACTATTTTGTATATTACAAGTCAAAAAATAATTTCTCCAAACATGTTCAGGTTTTTAAACCCACATCTCTCAAACGTATTGCCCAATTTACATCAAACTTTCCCAGGCGGGGGGGGGGAATCTATCCTGCCATAACATCAAATGTGAAATTACAGGTAGATTGGTTATGACTAAGCCAAAGAAACAAAGGGAATTGGTGAAAGTGGCAGGAAATCTATAGTGTAGACATGGCCTTTGGATTTACTGACTCACAGTCTTATGGTCAGTCTGTTCAAACAGTGATCTATTCTGACACAACAACACCCTATTTAAAAGGGAGGAAGCAGCTGTCAGAGCATTTACAATGAGGGGCCCTGAACTTTGGAATTCACATCTCCCCTTGATCCAAAGCAC